TAACTAAATAACTAAATTTAATTAAATTTAATTATAGTACAGTACTTTAATTATTAACTTAAATACTGTCATTTACTTAGTATAATATTAGTATATATATATATATATATATATATATATATATATATATATACATAGTTTCGTGGTTACACGGCGGTTAAAAAGTCAGTCAAAATGACTGAGTACATCTACAGAAGGATTTGATATAATGAGTGCAAATTCCATGCCTTAACTGTTCCATTCATAGCATTCACAAAGTTACAGTGAAATTTCACTGAGAATGAAACATTGATCAAGTTGTCTGAACTGTTAAGGTTGACCTTTCTTAAACATATAAACTGTGATCAATGGCCAAGGATCACCTGACATGATACAGTCTATACTACAATAAAAGCATGAATGTCAATGGAACTAAGATCGTCCCAGTTCATTACACTATGTTGCTATTTTCTTTAGTTATGAATGGTACATTATACAAAGGTAGTGAACGTGACTGGTTTTTGTATTCAAATGTAAAAAATAATTACTACAGTAATGTAAAAACAGAAAGCTTATAATAAATTACAATATCACTTCTATTGAGTTCAGTTTTTATGCCAGCCTTTAATAATCATATCAAATTATAATGTACAAGTTCTAGATTATTAGACTCCATTGTTATTATATAAAACTAACAGTACTCTTACCAATTTTCGTATACTGTGAAATGAAACATTTTCACACACGTAATTCAATTAAAATTAAAACCTCAGGAAGTAATATGTTAAAGCCATAGTTTTCACAGGTTTTGTATTGGTTAAGATTGTAATTTTATTATAGTGTTACAACAGCGGAAGTCACATGACGCTGCTGGCACTGGTAGCGTATGCGTGAATGAGTTTCTCAAATTATCAGGGAACTCCTCGATCTTTGTCAAAGCCTCTTTGTTAGTATATAAGCCTGGCAGAGAAGCCAGCAATAGATAGATAATTAAAGAAGCGAACAGTAATGACGGTAAGTGTGTGAATCACTGTGATTTATAGCATGTATTATAAAAGTTTGAAGTGACGAGAAACGTATTGACTGTAGAATTACCATGTACTAAAAGTTTGTATGGAGGAAGAATAAACTGGTTTAATCAAGAAGAGATTTGTATTGCTAAGTTCCTCGGAAAGAATTTATACCGGAAATTAACAAACACTTTCTTTTAATGTAATGCAAAACAAATCATACAGGGTAGTTAAGTATATTTAGGGAAAACATCTGTATTGAATACATATGGAAATAAACTCAAGAGATAAATATATATATATATATATATATATATATATAAACTAATTATTTTTATTAATAACTAAATAAACACTATTACTAGTATACGTAGATATTTAGTTGTTTAGAGTAAGTAGA